TTGTTGGTTCATTCAGAACCCATCTGTTCGTAATGACGTCTTAAAATTCACTTTCTTTCCTAGAGCATTCCGAGAGTAAAACGGTTTACCCGAAAAAAATGTTTCATGTACACCTTTTTAAACTTTAATAATGCATCGAAAATATTGTTTAACGTTTACAGCATGTCGCGATTTGGCAGCAACATTTTTCTTTTTGAGTCGAAAATGAATTTGTGCAAAACTATATTTCTTCTTTTTGCTTTCCCGGTTGATATTGCCTTTTGATGCATGATTTCATTAATCGAGGCACGATGTCGGCGCTTCTTATTGGGCTGCTGTTTAGTTTCATATTTATTTATCCCTGTTAGACTGTATGTTCTTACGTTGTAATTGCCACTCCGTTTCATAAACTTGGGAGACTGACAATACTTATAGATTAAATTGAATGAACATGAACAGCCTGTTCACACCCATCCGTCAAAATCGCGGTTGTTGAGAAACGATGCACGCTTCTCACGTTCTCCTTTCCACCGCGACCCCGTCTCTATTCTCTTCCAAAAAGAAGGCGTCTATGGCTGTTTATAAACACTACAAGAAAGAAAATTATTATTATTATTATTATAAAACAAAACTAATGTGTTTCAGGAGTCCCCTGAAACGCAAATGTCCAGAAATTCCCTTTGTGTTGCACTCCTCGAAATGTACGCGCTGCATATGTGCACCTATTCAATTTGTTCCTTCCAACAAGTATTTGGGAATCTCCTTCGACAGTGATCTGTCGTGGAATTCTCATCTAAGCTATGTTGCCAAGCGACTGCGAAGTGTATCAAGTATGTTGTATTCTACAAAGGCCTTTTTTCCATTTTCTGTTCGCAAGATGATAGTCAATGCTTTAGCCTACGGGTTGCTACGGTACGGTATTACTATTTATGCAAACTGTTCAGTGCTGTGGCAAAATAAAATCGACACGATCCTAAAAAGTAATTTGAGGGGTGCAGCGTACGCGTCTGATTCTATGCCGAGTAATGAATTATTTGCATCCCTGTGCCTGCCGCGTTTCCTAGCTCTCTTTAAAAGATGTGTAATTACTAAGCATATCTGGCAAAATTCTTTTAAAACGCCTCCTGTAGTGGAACGTGTTTTGAGAGACGGTGAACGTTTCATAATCCCACGTGTTTCTACAAAATATGGAAAACGACTGCGCTCATTTTATGTACCCGAACTCTTTAACGGCTTACCGGACACATTTTTGGGATAACCACAAAGCGCCAATTAAAAAAAACTATAAGAGCAATATGCTAAAGTTATACTTACGTTCTCGTTTTCCAGTTTACATGCAATGTTAGTCCCTTTCGGCTTTATATCATTTATTTGACCCTAATCTTGAATAATCTGCAGATAGTCCCCGATGCTGACTTTAAGCTTGGTTTCCCTTTTGGCCTTTGCCTCCAATATGAAAGAGCAATAATCGTAACACGTGCCTGTCTCTAGTTATTGACAGGGTTTTTGTCTGCGGTCTGGTGGTTATTTGGTTTAGTTGTGTATGTGCTTTATATTTAAATGAGTATTTTGCGGGAGTTTGTATCTGTATCCTGACTGCTGTGTGTGTTTTTTTTTCTTTATTTTACATTGTTGTTTTGCGTGATATCTTTCAATGACTGGTTTGATGTTTTATTACACCGCTGCCGGGTTCAGTCCCACAAGCCGCTATTGGCTTTTGACGGACCCGCATATGTATGTATTGTATTTACATTTGTGCAATAAAGACTATTATTATTATTATTATTATTATTATTATTATTATTATTATTATTATTATTATTAGAAATAATACTATTATGATTTTAATAACAATAACACTTCGTATCACACCAAGTCTGACCGCCGCCAACGCCACGATCCGAAAGACCCAATCAGGCTGCGCCAAAAGTGCTTCGTCACGACACTCTCCTTCCTTGTGCGTGTTCCATCACCGTATGAACTAATCACGCATAAAGAAGAGCGTAGGATCGCGCCGCACTTTCTGTGCGCGTTTGGTTTGTCCGGTGATAGCAAGGGTGTAAAGATTACGAGCTCCACGATAATGCACTTCTGCACTCTAAGAAAAAAGGGAGGAGAAAGGTAGCAAAAGCGACTGTTCCTCCTTGTTGCGGACAAGTTGCCCAGAGAAGGGAGGAACGGCAGTTCAGATGAAAGGAGGAGGGCGAGTTCCTCCTTGTTCGGTTGGCGCAGGGGTAGAACATCGCGCTACTGACCAAGTGGTCAACGGTTCGATCCCCAGAGAAGTCGTCTTTTTTTTTTTTTGTAAAGTTTTTTTTTTTTTTAATTTTTGTTTACCAAAACACACATAAACAAACCCAGACCGATGAAAGGAAAATTAAAGTCCTTATTATTCTCCGAGACGTTTTCCTCCTCCAGGCAGACCGGAGAAAGCTTTCGCCCTCCCGACCCATCTTCTTTCGGTTTCGTTTTTCGAGCACATCGCGCACGTTGTTTAATAAATTAATGTTGAGTTGATTGAGCTTCAGCGGCAGCGAAGGCCGCCTGTAATTCCGTCTTCTAGTCCAAACGTGCAGAACATTTCGGTTGCATTGACGTTTTTACCACTAATTTTATCAAAGGAGCTAACGAAGCCGCTAGAAACAGCGAAGTTCCGGAGCAGTGCCAGCAGCGCTACATACACTGGGTAAGACGGCCGTCTCCAATTTGCGGGACACACGCGGAACTACAGCAGCGAAACCACGAGGAACTGTGTCGACGTTTTCGACGTTATGGAAATCGCGGGAACTGCGTCCAAGGAAGGCAGGTTTTCCTGCCGGCTGCCTGGGTGCCTTCCGTGCTGAGTTCGGTTCCGTTGTCCCGTGCCGAGTGCCAACCGGTGTTCAACGTGATTCTTCTGCGAGTCAGCAACATCGTCAACGTGGTTCTGTATTTCTTCGTGTCAGCGACATCGTGATGGCAGTGTTGTGGGTTGTGAACAGAAGACTGGAATTATCGCCGATGTGTCCGTGTGTTCGCGTATCAGTGGTGTAACAAGATGAGATGACGTAAACTGTCGGGCATTGATGCCGCTGGTCGGGCCGTTATCGGAGGGGCCGGGGTGTCGCAGGATGACATTCCGCTTTACATTAAAGAGTTTAAAACCACTTGAGGGATTAGGTGCAGTCGATCGACGTGTGGATAGTCATGTTGGAACGCTGGTCTGGAAGGTAAGCTCCTATCGTACAGTGGCCAATGTGACTGTCGGTCCCCGAGAGCGATTGCGCTCTGGGGAAAAGACAACACTACGAAAGTATGACGGAAAGTACGTATATTTATAATGAAAGTTTAGCATAAAAAAAAAGACAGGCAAAATCGAAAAAAAAACAAAGAAACGCTATCCTTTATTTTACTGTTTAAATATATTACGTTTCCTGTAGAAACTGCCCTCTAAGTGGCGCGCTGGGATGAGCGCTAGAAGTTTTCGAGCTCGCAACGGCGCAGCTCCGTACACTTGACAGTTGTCGGAAGTCGCGGCTTTGACTGCATTCAAGTTGATCGAAAAGCGATTTCTGTGCCCGTGAAGCATCACTTCCAGCTGAGTGGATATCCGCTCTACAGAGATTAATTCAAGACGGCAATTGCAGCTTTGCGCGAACAGCACAAATAGAAAACGAACACTACAATATAAATACTGGCTACGAAGGGCCATGCGGGAAAACAAACTCATGGCTTGGAACCACATTGGAGCGGCTCGATTTATTGGCTTTCAAATAATTATGGCATGATCGAGCGTCTTCTTTTTAATAAGAGATTCATCCCCTGAGCCATTAAAAAGAGCCTCAGATGTATGACATTGCTGGAAAAAAATGAACATGTTCGGAATATTTTTTTTTGCTTAGGGAGTCACCGAAAAATTCCGTACGCTCAAAACGACCACTATAAAAGACGGAAACGCAGGGCTCGGTTGTAGTGATCGGGGTAGTGTGCTGTTGTATTGATGTTTGTATGTGCGATGCCTGTGTATGCGTTCAATATATGTTGACCTGATGTTTGTAGTGTGCGCAACGTGTCTACATGTGTTAGAGATTCCGATGAAAAGGAAATGCAATTGTGGCGTAAGAAAATAAAAATATTTTTTTGTAAAACATGAATTGGGCGGTACCTAGCGCCACCTAGCCTAGCTACGTGCGATTACTCTGCTTGACCCTGCCATCTGGTGGCAAGCGATTTAACATCCTTTTACGCTACGCGGCTACGCCATAATTTCGTGTTACCGTGCTGAGATAAGCCAAGAGGTTGCTTCGGATTTGCTTTTATTTGAGAGCGGCTTTTGGTTTTGCGGGCGAATGATTTTCACTCCTCCGTGATGTGCGGTTGACGCTACGGTTGACGAAGGAATTGTGGCTCGAGGAATAGCAAAGGTAGGACATAAAGTGCGGGAATTGAGTGCCGGTTGTCTCCGTTGAACATCGCAGTGCTGACGATGAGAAGACTGAGTGACTGCATGCTTTCGAAACGTAAGTTTCTTTACCTGCAGGGGTAAAGAAACTTCGGAAATAAATACAGTTCGCGGAAAGCTCGTGTTACGTTTTTATTTCCTGCTCCTCTCGCTTCGTGCAATAGACTTAGTGTTCTCGTTAAGCCTTACCGAGCTCGATTTGCTCGATTCGTGGCCGCCATAATGAGATGCAGTCGACGGAGGAACTTTTCCTCCCCTGCTTAAGGGACGAAAGTTTCTCCCTTTCTGAAGGAACATATGTGTCAAGAGCGTTCCTCCCTTTAGGGAGGACTATACTGACCCTTTTTTCTAAGAGTGTGGTGCAGCTGGGTTGGCTTTTCGTTCCGTTGTGAACGCTAAGAGTCGTTGTGACTCATGAGAGCTCGTTCGTTTCGCAAACACTAATTTACTCGACTATGGTATTTATCCTAAACACCAGCAGCTTCATTACCTCGATAGGTATTTCTTGTCCATCGCCCTTTTCTTAAATCACACTCAATGCGTGTGATTATATGGAGCGAACAGAAAACGACAAAAATATAAAATCCAAAATTATGTTTTATTGGTTCTGTAAAAAGCAATGCCGTATCTTTGAATTGATCAAATCTGATGAGTGTTTCGAAAAAACGAAATTTCAAAGATGATAAATTTCTAAGATTTTGGAAACGACAAGTAAACATTCCTATATCCCCGGGATAGCGCGTGGTGTGAGATCCACCACCGAATGGGCATTCACGCGATCCCCGCATTTCTGTTGCACAACATTTTCTCGACGAAGGACACGAATTTCTTTAAGAAAGGACCCACTACAGGGAACATGGCGACGACCTTCTGAGCCAGGTTCGCCAGAGGCGCAAGCAGACTGCAGATGCCTCCGTTGTCTTGGCGGCTTTCCCGGGGCTGTTCCTCTACTTTGTTTTCTGCTGTAAAGGAGCGATGAGCTTATATATGTGGTTATTATGCAATATTATAACAAATAAGACGTACAGAATTTCACATCAACTTCTCTTAAATTTCCCCTAAACTTTAAACAAAACGCTGTGCCCCTTCCATTCGTTTATATACAAATTTGTTGTATTACGAATCCCTGGCTTCATCGCTGCGGTACAAGGGGGGCCACCAAAAGTTCCGACTTCCGGTGGCGATTCAAATCCCGGCCCGAGCGCGCGTTCCTCGGAAGGGTCCCGACTTCGCCCAACCGAGGCTCCACCGAGGCTCGTCCGCACAAGGCCCGGCCTGTTCAAAAGCGGGACACAACCACCGCTCTCGCCCTTCATAGTATAGTGTGCGCATGAGCTATCGACAATTTAAGGTACACAAGTAAACTGAATAAACTCAGAGCCTAAATACGTGATTTGTTGCCTCTAGAAAGTCAATTACGGGCTTGTGAATGTCAGTTCTCTTCGCCCGGGAGCCCGTCGACAAGAGTAGACCGTTAAAATTTCCTGGCGTTACGTGGAGCGTCTTCAATGTGTTGGTGAATGTAGCTCGTTCTGCTTACAAAGCGTGGCAGCTCCGGATGATCTGTTGTCTACTTTCGGTCGCGTCGCACGGATTGCATTCTTGTGATTTAAGTGCTCCGATAAGATGGCGTCGCTTTTTAATAGAGATGGTTTGGCGCATTTGACGCTATTTGCAAGACAAATATAAGCTTATAAAAAGCATTGTTTTTATCGTGTCTTCTACGCTACACATATTTTACTTGTTGTAGGAAGTTGGGACCCTGAGCTATCTGTTTATGCGTTATCGAACCTGCCCATTGTCGTCATGAGATCACGTGGGCAAAGTACGTTTCGTCAACCGGAGCCACTAACGCGCGCTGACGGTCACCTGCTCGCGCAGGTTCCCTCGAGTCATACGTGGCCCTGCTGCTTTCCCTCTTTTCATCAGCGACACCTGGCGGCGAGCGAAGGCATCGGGCTACGGATCACACGGTCCGGGGTTCGATTTGCGCTCAGTTCTTGGGGAAAAATCTCCATTGTTACAATTCATTACGCCTAATTATAATTGGGGATTCACAATTTTGACTAAATGTGCCTTTATTTGGATGCTTATGCTTTTGTTTTATTAAGCAAGCTTTTTATGTTTATTGAAAGCGTGTAACACCTTTTTGTCACAGTCGAGTGTAACGCTTTTCGCGTAAAATCTAGTCCCTAAACGCACTGTGCTTGAAAAGAAGCATATCTATGCTGTTATCCTGATGACAGCAAAACTAGGCCATGCATTTGTAATTAGGGTAACGGTGATTGCTAAAGTTTCTGATAGGACAAGAAGCCTATATGGCGACTATTTTGGATGTCGACTTAACATTACGAGCTGGTTTCCTTTCGTGGTGCTTTGACTGCCCCTGTACCCTCGCAGCTCACAAGACGATGTAGAACGCCAGTCAGAACATTGCTTCGAAGTTGGTGTAAAACAGCAAAAAATGCTCCTTACTAGCCTCCATGGTCTTAGCAGCTTCATTGTTCGAAGCGCCCCCGGTTGCACCTTGATCTACTCCTGGAATCGTGGAAACCATAACATGAATGAAGAATTAGTGCAAAAAATAATTTCACAGATATAAAATAAACGCTCATTTTAAATGTGTCAGTCATCTGCGAGGGGTCATTGTCCTTGTGGGATCCGCACATTTCGATGTAGGGCTTTTCGGTGCAGGACGTTTAGAAAGGGTATCAAAAGGTGTATTCTTAAACCCTTTGTCCCATATAATACACCCCAGAACTTCATTTCGACGTACAGCGCCCTACAGTCGAAGAGACGGCCCGAAATTTTAGGAGGGGCTTGATAGCCGCGTGGTAAAACTTATTAAAATAGCTAATGTACGTTTTGCTGACAATAAGAAAAATAATCGGGGTTTTCTTGGCCCTACTGTAAAAACTCGGTGTTTTCTTTATGTGGTCTTTGATACGTACTTTAGCTATTTAAAATGTTGTACCACACGGCTATCAAGCCCCTCGTAAAATATCCGGCCGCCAGTTCGACTGCAGCGCGCTGTACGTCGAATTGAAGTTTTGGGGTGTATTATATGGGACAAAGGGTTTAACGATACACCTTTTGACACCCTTTTTTCTTTAGAGTGATACGGACATTTCGGAACATGGGATTTTCGTTATCCGGACTTTTCCGTGGACGAATGTTTCGGTGCAGAAACAATTCCGTGTAATCTTTTTTTTTAGTAGGTAGTTGAACCGCTTAGCAGGCAGGCAGATGATTGCATATTGCTATATTTTGATGCTTGAAATATAATGTGTATATTGATTAGGATGTGAGATCTTTCTAAAAGTTCAACTGTTTCTAAATGTCTGCCAATCCCGATCGACTTTGTCTTCTAAGGTCTAATTTGTGTGTCTAAGTAGCAACGTGGAATTTTCATACGCTGTTGACGGTGGCATAAAAATATCACCACAGCATATACTGGTAACCAAGTGGCGAGCGGTTTAAATACATTTTAACTCATCACACTCATTTCATTCTTAAACAGAGAGAAAAAAAGCAATGATCATTTGTAGTGGTAATTATTAATGTCATCCACACGGAGAGCCTACAAAAATATCATGCGAAGAAGATACACACGTAGGTAACAAAATAGGCTTCGTGCGTTCAGAAACAATCGAAAGATAAACGGGGCTTTAAGTCATCATACGCCGAAACGTTCTACGCCGAAGCTTTACGTTTCCGTACGAAAATGCCAGATCTGGTGTGAAAAAAGGACTGGATCTGGTCCAGGCCCAATCTAGGCGTTCCGGGATTATCAATGTTCCCTCTGTTGATTCCTCTGCGACCTGAAGAGACTGGATAGGTATCCAGTCCGCTTCATTTTAGAGCGCAACTCTTAGGTGCCCGTATCCGGCTTAAGCGCCGTCGGCGTCGCCGTCGCCGTCGGCGTAACCACGCGTTGCATTATGAGACGTTTCGAATAATGACGTCGCACGCGACGAACTCAACTCGGGAAAAATTTTCCGCTAAATTTATCGGGAAAATATTTCCGCTAAGTGTAGCGGGGAAATTTTCCGCTAAATTCAGCAGAAACATTTCCCCGCCAAATTTAGCGAGAACATTTTACGCTCGTGAAGTCACACGTGACGTCGCGTCTGACGTCGTACAAGACCCCCCCCCCCCTCCGTACCCTCCCCTCCTCCTCCTCAGAAGCTGCGCTCTAATTCAGCATTACAGAGAATCGGAAATGTGATCAATCTTTTTCGTGTTCTCTTTCTTTTCTGATTCCAGTTGAGCCCGTTTTCGCCAATCCGTAAAAAAAGAAATGCTATATCCAACTCGGTCTTGTCCAGTGTCATCTAAACGGCTATGATTTCAATCTGCGCTCTGCACTGGAAGGCGGGAGCCTTATAATCGAACAAGACGATTGGAGATTTCATAAAATTCGAGTTCTAATCTATTTTATCGTCAATGCAAAACGTCAGGCTTGCTTTGCTTAATGTCGAAACTCAAAGTTTGTTTTTTGGTCTAAACATTGTTTTTGGCATCGTCGTCCACTGAGCTGCCTCCATAAGTTCTGGTGATTGGCTCTTCGAGTGTTGTGCGAAAAAGTAGACGCACGGGTTTTTTTTTTTTTTTTTGAGAATGTAGTTGAATTTCCCACAAAAATTATTTCCGTCAACCGCGCACCCTAGGTGAGAAAAAAAAATCATTCAGGAACGCTGATGAATGTTGAAGACAATTGGTGCACTTCGAATTTCGCACAAAATATTGGTTGTTGGAAGAAAGATGACAATCCTGATCGCCGGTTATATGTATCGTTTGCAACTTTCCCACCTTGCACTTTTTGGGTAGGCATCCAATATCAAAAGATTCTCGAAATCGTTTGGAAAGCCTCATTAAATAATATTCGGTAGTCTCTGCAGTACTCCTGACATCTAGAGAACCTTATATTTTCGTATTATATTGCTTGTTCTCAGTTGTCCAGAAAGTTCTACTCGCACTTTTTTATTTTAAAATCGGACATAACAATAGGTAACTACGAATTAGCAATAAGCTACATACATGCCATTAGAGGCTCAGGGCAACCGCCCTTTAAGATATATATCTGTCCTTCAAAGCTACAAAGATGGCACTCTGAAAGACATGCCGAACATAAGCTCTTCATACTCTGGCCACCGACAGAATGAGAAGGTCAGGAAGCGCCTATTGAACGCCTGAGCACGCGCTTCATGCCTTTGGCCGTGCTTGGGCTGGGCACGCGCGCTCGACGTGCACCAAACGCCGAAGCACTGTCAAAAGAAGCTCCTCGCGCCGGAGACGGAAAAACTGAAGCTCCTCTTTGCAGTCCTCGCCTTGTCATTGACGATAGCAATTCAGTTTCTCGCCAGTCAGATATCCGTAAAACAAATTAGGTTGTGTCGTTGTTTATACAGCCTAGAACTTAGTCTGCCTCAACGGGCGACTTGTCGCCCAGCTGTGAATAAGCAATTTAACAAGCGCAGTACAACCGCTAGCCTTGGGTCTTCAATGCGCACCACGCAGTGATGATACATGACCGCAGGCCTGTACGATATTCATCCAGATCGAAGCGCGCAGAGGTGGGGATCGAACCCAGGATCCGTGTGTTCTGCAGCGCGAGCTTTCGCTCCACGAGCTCCGAGCTGGTGAATAAGAGTGTGCTCAATAAACACCGGCCACGGCATCATATCGCGCTGCATACCAAGCAGCAAAGGCATTGTCTAAAAGTGTCAAAACATATGTAGGGCCATTTTATATTTTGTTCGCCCTCGCTCGAGTGAAATAGGAAGCCAGCAAACCATTGTTGTGGTTGCTTTTTGCCCGCAACTTGATCGGCACACTATAAACTGAAAACAACAATATTTCAGTTTAAGATGGCCGTCGGGATACGTTTGCTTGAGAAGAACAACAATGTATTAACTAATCGTCGACGACATACCTCTGCGTGATCTTGGGAACCCGCCGCATGTCACACCTTTGCAAAAAACAATCAAAGCGACATGGTGAAATTTATGTCGTAACACACTTAAATTACACACCTAAACCGCACCACTTCTAGTCTATAAAAATGCCATTGCCTCTTCTTGAGGCTCCGGCCCTATGGCGGCCATCTTGATTGGGTACCGCACGAATTTTAATATATTAAAATAAATCTAGCAAGTAATAATAAAAACTGAATTCCCTGGAGTTTCGTAATCCTAGGGAAAGTTATTATGGCGATAAGATAAATATATATTCAAATAATGAACCAGTCAATGCTCCATCATGACTCACAATTTCCTCCTCTTGTACTAATGTTAAGAGTCTGATAATTTTACTCTGCGCACAAAATATGATACTAAAGAAGTGGACAAGAGGTTTGCAATTTTTGTTTCGATGTGTTCAAAGAGTATTTCCAACCACACTACTTTTTATTATTTATCTAATGAAATATTTATTCAATGGCTATATGATCTGAAAACCCCATGCACTCAAGTGATATTCAAATAAAGCTACAGTTAAATAAGTATCTTTTACTTTTTTATAATTTAAAAAACATTTTGTGCCCATTCAAGATAACCGCAGTGGGAGCGAAGCGCTAACCGCAAATCACTCGACGAGCCATTCATTCCAATCAGAGGAAGAGCTAACAAAATGATCATGCCAATAAAACGCCTCAAACTTTGATCATGGTGCGTCCTAAGGCACGAAGAAATGCATTAAGCGCATGATAGATGTCCCAGGGAAATCTCAGTTAAGCTAAATTAATTTGTTTCTTCAAATTTTTAGTCGGCGAGTTTTTCTTCACTCTTTGTTTTGAAAAAAAAACTCTTCGAATGATGGCCGGCTAAACAGAATTAATCTTAACACCCTACTAAGTTTCAACCCTGCATCATTTTCTCTAGAAATAATCTCTTTAATAGCATACTAAACAGCTGCGCAAATCCATCTTTATACGGGGGAACCTTCGAGGGAAGTTGCGATTCATCGCAACAATGCTCGTAGTTAGGCTAGTGGTGACGCATTACAACAACAAGAGAAATGGCACTGTGTCTGTTTCGTTCGTCTTGTCAATGTGTGGTTAAACCACTCTGAATTTCTTTTTAAATCATCATTTATCGTGCAACGAGGACTGCACACAAACATTCCAAGTGCGTAAAGAAAGCACAATAATCTTAATCTGTTCCGTGGTTACGGAGCCGCCGACGTCATTTTTGACGCTAACAAAACCTTTACAGTCTTCATTAAAAGGCAACTCCGCTTCATTTCTGATATTGAGAAAACTATGCAGTCCTCTTCAGTACCCTTTAGGAAGACCAGATGTCAAATAGTACGATCTAATTCCGTCTCTACATTTAATAAACTGGCTAGCAAACTATCAAAGGAGCCAAGTCGCCGAAATCTGCTAACTCTAGCGTGCGACGTAAGGCGCAATCAACAGCACAGTCAATACCACGGAGTTGCAGCAGCCAACATTGAGCCACTACGTTAGAGGCATGTCTACGTCATTCTCACGTTTTGTTTGTTTTTGCTTCTCAGAGCAAAATTAAACGATGACGTCATG